CGTGGCACGCATTTTTCGGGCTGCGTCGAGCCCGCACATGGCCCTGTCTACTGCTGTACACGCGTGTGTCACGCTTTGGAGGTGTGGGTTATCACACTGCATCGGCCATTGCGTCCAACCCCATGGCAAGCTATTTGACGCTATCAAAACCCGATCGGTGCATAAAGGACGAAAGACAGATCGAGGCTGACACCGAGTAATTCCTCCTCACAGCGCAGCAGCGCGTGTCTCGCTGCAATAGTTTCGACGCGCCTGAATCCATTAAGGTGCGTTCTAAGGGCTGAGAATCAGGCTGCAATTGCTTCTTCTCGGCGTGGTCTAATGGCATTTTTTTCAATATGAGACCCGAGACCTTATGGTAGCCTGGTACTTATCCAGCTGGAGCCAGGCCATATCCGACAGTTCGACCGTCGATTTCGACGATGTCCACCGTGTGCCTCACAGCTTCAGCAGCGGTGGGACAGGGACGGTGACTTACGCAGGGGTTTATAGTGCCAGTAGACTTGCGTAGCATCTACCTACACTCTCTCCTCCTCCCCCGCCTGGGCCCGGTGTCAAGACAGAGTCAAGATGACCGGAGACGAGGGAGGCCGCAGGTGGATGGCTCGGACGGATCCTCACCTTGGCGTTCCACCACACCCCCTGGTCCACACAACAATAACCAGGATTTCAATCAACACAACAGACATTTGGAGGCTGACACGGCCGAAGTCGCACCTAGGCATGCCGCCAACGCCTGGCTCGGATCCCACGCTGTGGTGGAAATGCCATAAAGGCCACATTAAAAAGGAGCCATTGCAGCCTGACTCTCAGACCACCTCCAGTCAAGGAGGAGGTCCAAGTTACCCCGTCAGTTGGCAACCTTCCAAGCCACGGCTTTTAGCGCACCGTGATAGCTTCAAGCGCGTCAGATTGATTATAGTGAGGAAAATGCGCTGAGTCGTCGACCTCACTCTCCCTTCCCATCCCCAAACCCCAGTCGCTGTCCGAGCCGGTCAGCAGACTGGAGTGGGAAATGGGCGCGGTGGCGCCAGGCCATATACGACGCGCGTAGCGGGCTGTTTAGCTCTGTCAGCCACTGCGCTCATGCCCACCTCCCGTCGGGCTATCGCGCCACGATGGATGGCTTGGGAGGGGAGGGAAGCGAGGTGGATGCGGTGTAAGTCCCCTTCACTATAAATTAATTTACGCGCAAATTACAGCTGTTGGGTTCACCACGTGGGCAGCGGTGGAAAGCGCAGCTTCGAAGGCCGAACTGTCGTATGACGTACTGTCACTACTTGAGAGCATGCAAGTCCGAGATGAAGTCAGTTGAGTGTTCAAGTGAGCGCCTCTGAAAGTGGGCTGAAGTGGCTTTGCTGCAACCGGAGTACTAGAGTGTGTAGCCTTGAATCGCTTGAGCCGCTAGGGGAAGGGGTGGGCGGTGCAGTGACCGCGGCAAGTGCATCACCTTGCCAGGCACAGAGAGAAGTGCATGAGTCGATCGCCGAGCAGTCAAAGAAGCGATGGGCCAGTAGACATTCAGGTTGGAAAACGTGCGTCGATTGCAAGAGCAATTGCTCGAGGCGATGGCAAGGCCAGTGCTACGACCTGCGAAGAGTTGCGACTGGGAAAGCGTCCAGAGCGTGTATTGGATGCTAAACTGACCTGTCCGCCAGTCGCCTTTGCGCATCCCCAGTATATTCACATTCGTTACGCCTGGAGAATAACTACTGCTGGCTTTTGAGTCGCCTTTACAGCAGGTGAGCTAACCAATGCAAGGTGTCAATGTTTACGAGGGATTGTTAATCACCCGCAAACCGGCACAAATTAATCCAGAAAGACTTTAAGGGAGTCAAAAACGTTGAAGAAATATTAAGGTGGTGTGACGTTGTTTAGAAATGTTACATTTTTGGACAAGCGAAAAATTCCGAAAACGGCAAAAGTGGCTGCAGTTGGTTAAATTTCAGTTTTGAACGGCATATGGAAAAATTGTCACTCTTAACGGGAGTCGACACTATAATGGAATTCTGCATTACTGGCTCTTCTGATGTTTTGCGCCGCAGATGGTGATTTTGTTTCCGGATGTACCCTACTAGATAACTAATGCTTGCGAGGACGGTTTGGAGGAAATAAAGTTCCAATTCCAGCATTTCATTGAAGGGAATTTTCCGGGATCTGCGGAGGATGGTGTAGAGGGGTTTTGTCTGCGTTGTAGGGGCATAGATCTTCAAGTAATCATATGGAAGACAGATCGCCTGGTAAATCCATGCTATTCTACATGCATAAAGGCATTCAGCAGTGTTATGTTACTGTCCAGTCTCTGTTCTGTTAAGAATGTTATCTTTTGGTGCAATAAGTTCCTGTTTGCAAGTTCGGCACTAGCATTCGCTTAGATTTTTAGGTTCAACGCACTTACTGGACAAGATCAGCTATTATACGTTTGTTGACGCCTCTTTGCTTTTTGTATATTGTCAATACATCTGTGCTACGTGGTTTTGCGGCAGCCACACTGCAAATGGCCTCTAACATTTCCGAATAAATGCAAAGAAGGAAGAAAAGGGAGTCAGGATATACTTCATATATATCTTAGTCTGCCGCCAAGTCGACAGTCCACTGACGATAACAGCATAAGGAAACTGACTATCATGTAGTAGAGGACAAATGATTTTTTGGAGGTCTTCTTGGCCAGCAGATACTCCAGAGCGGAGAACGTAACTTCGTCGGACAAATACACGGACAATTGTGGACACGAATGCATGAACGCCAACTAGCAATGCGAAAGGCTAACCCTAACTCACTGACAGCCCTCACCGCGCACACAGGTCACGACTTCAAATTCCACTGGTCGAGGTGGAGGGCTCACGGGACGGTCGCATAGCAGGATGGCTGCATGAGGCGTGGATTTCATCCGGCCGCCCATTTGATTGCTACCTTAACCTGTCCAGCTCTAAGCGGATCGTCGCCACTATCTGTGTAATGGCAGACAAGGCCGTGCTTTATCTGAACCCACAAGCGCCAGCTCAGACACTGAAAACAAGGGGCGAAGCCCAGCAGCCTGCGTCTCCAATGACATCGCGTCGGCACCAGTGCCCGCCCAAGAAGCGCACACCACTACCCAACTACCGGCAGTACCAGGATCGGACAAAAAGGCACTCTGTCCCCATAGACAGCGGCATCCGAGTCGCAGGGCCTTAACCGCCGCCCAAAGTGGATGAACAAGGCCTCAGAGACGGGGAATGTGTGAGGTGGCTCAGGAACCCCCGCAGCCGGTATCAGGGCATGCGGCAAGTGAAGTTAACTAAACGAATCTCAGTTCCGTGGAATGAGCTCCCATGCGCGCCACGGTGCGAACTGTGAGGAGGCCCCAACCGCCGAAATCGTGATGAAAATTTGGGAAACGTGCCGAAAAGAACCTTGCATCCAGATGGGACTGCTTCCACTGAAACAAACGGTTTCAAAGCATATTTGCGCTGCTAAACAAAAGGAAGGCTGAAGTGTGCAGAAACTTGTCCCTCACCCTGCGGTAAGTAAAGTGATTCTGGTCGCAACAGTCTTCCCAGTATGTGCGCAGACCTGACACCAATCACGTGAGTACTTTTTTGTCTAAACTCTTTTCGCCTCGTGGATGCTGCCCACTGGTCTGCACGAATCATTTGATGTGAGTGAATTCTACCTACACTGACTGACTATTCACCAGCTTCCTTTTTCTCTGGCAGTTTAAAAAAAGACTTTTTTCTGCGTATCCGTCAGAATGGAGTTTCAGCGTGCGCGAGGGGAACACACAGATTGCGATCCATTTAAAATGGCAGGAGTTTCAAATATATGGGTAAAAATTACGCGCAATATTCCCCTATCATACAGCGGTAACAGGTGGCTCATTGTCGAATGTCATGCTGACGTCCCGGGATCCGCATCGCCTACAATACGGACGACTACAAGCGATGCACTTCCATTTTCGCGTATCCACAACCGCCGTTCACGAACTTCTGTTCGCCGACGACGGCGCCCTCAACACCACCTCGGAAGGGGACATGCAAAGGAGCATGGACCTCTTCGCCACCGCCTGCGAGAACTTCGGTCTGATCATCAATACGGAGAAGAAGGTTGTCATGCACCAACCGCCACTCAATACAGCCCACAATGCGCCGCAAATCAGCTTAAACGGAACCCAACTGCAAATGGTGGACAACTTCACCTCTCTGGGCAGCACCCTCCTCCACAGCACAAAATCAACGACGAAGTTGCCCGCCGCATTTCCAAAGCCATCCAAGCCTTCGGCCGTCTACAGGACACCGTCTGGAACTGTCACGGTCTCCATCTCAAAACAAAGCTGGAGATGTACAAGGCAGTTATCCTGCCAACGCTGCTGAATGGAGCGGAGACCTGGACAGTCTACAAGAAGCGGGCGCGGAGACTCAATCATTCCCACTTCAGTTGTCTTCGCCGAATACTGAAGCTGAGGTGACAGGACCGGATCCCAGACACGGACATACTGCAGCGGACGGGAATCCTCAGCACCCATGCTATGCTGAGACAACTACAACTACGCTGGAACGGCCACCTCGTAGGGATGGACGATGAAAGGCTACCCAAACGACTCCTTTATGGAAATTTCGCGACGGGTTCGCGCAGAAAAAGAGGTCAAGTCCGGCGCTATAAGGATACCATGAAGACCTCCCAAAACGCCTGCAGGTCAGCCCGGCAAACTGGGAAGACCTCGCTTTTGACCGACCTACGTGAAGAAGAACAGTGACGACTGGCGCAGCAATCTTCGAAGCCAACCGCATCACCGTCACCAAAGCCAAACGCGAGACGCGCAAATCTCAATTGTCGCCGCCGACGTCGCCTCACAACGCCAACGCCCAAACAACTCTAACGTGCCCATGATGTCAAGGGATATTCCGGGCACCAACTGGACATGTTGCACACCTTCGGACCAAATGCAGCATCCGGACTGCACCAACCGACGTCTCTCCGTCCACCTCTCCCCCGCCTCTCACGCCATCAGTTAACCCTCGCAAACCACTACTACCATCCTCCTCCTCCACTGCCTCAACGTCTGCCGTTGTGGCCTCTGCCATGACCATCAACGATCCTGACGAACCACCAAACAATAACACCGCCACCGTCAACACCAGCGACGAGGAGCGGGTCTATACCTGTCCACACTGCGATCGCACTTTCACCTCACACGTCGGCCTGGTCGGCCACTTGCGAATCCATCGCACGGAGACGGGCGAACCAGTGCCCGGAGCACCAACCTACACTCGCCACATCCGCCTCCACTGTCCACTCTGCACTCGCACATTTATTCGCCGCATGGGTTAGCTAGGCCACATGCGCGTTGACGAAAACCTGCGGTAAACAATCGCCGGCTGCTCCACACCATCACATCCTCCCTCAGCAGCATCTCACCGCTTACCAACATCACCCACCTCAAGCACCCAACTGCCACCACTCATGCAAGTGGGAAGTGTGTGCCTCGGCTCCTTCTCCATGCGACTCCCCTGCTGCATGTGTGGTCGGAGTTTAAGACGAAACAATCGTAGTTAAAATGCCTAACTTAGCCACTCCCTGCATTAGGAAATTTAGAGAAGGCAGAGCTCGAAACACGAGCAGGGAAGAGCGCGTGGATCGATGTTCGATGCAGCTGGAGGTGGCATGTACACAGTCCCCCGAGACACAGCCATTCGCTGCATTAAAAGGACAAGAAGGACACAATCGCGACTGGAAGGCTACTGAGGGAACCGCGTGTTGATTCGCAGTGCATGGCTACTATGGTGGAAACAAGGGAGTTTCCCACCCTCCTACCAGTGACGTTAGCCAGCCAACTTAGCGACTCGATGGAGTAAGGTAGTAAAGAGAGCGACAGCAGGGCTCGAAGCTCGCGCAGGGGAGCGCGTGCGAGCTGATGCCTGATGTAAATCAAGGCACAGTCGCTCAGTAAATTGAAATAGTAAGGAAGGAGCAAACATATGATTATGTTAAGTCAGTATAATCGCGCCTACTAAAATCGTTTGAGTAGCCAACGATATGGTGTCAGTCAAGTGGGGCTGCAGGACCAAACCTCGCCGCTCCTTCTTCATATGCCCTCTGTGACACTCCCATCCAGATGGATCCGAGTCTTTGTGATTGAACGTGTCAAGGTGTGGGTTTTCGCCGCGCCGGTCGTCTGCGCCCTCTGACTATAATGTCTTTGTCATGACAATGGGCCCAGGTGGAGGAGGAAAGGCACGGTAGATACAACACAAGCCTCCTATTACTATGAAAGAACCCACACGAAAGTCACCGCCTCTGCTGTCACCTGCTTCAGAACACACGGTGGACATGGTCGAAAACGACGGTCGAACTCTCACATTACGTTAGAAACAATCGTTGAGGATGATTGGAGTTCGGGTCAACGTTAGGCATGCTGGGTGAGTTGAGGATTAAAATTAAGGGAGACGGTAAAGCGATGGTGTTCGAGGCCTTCATTTTCTTCCACTCTTTCAGTGATTTCAAAGGAAACCTTGGAGGTTAAGACAAACTAATGAAATACAACTAAGGCTCTGGTCTTAAAACATCGAAAGTGGTTGGCCGAGGGCTCTTGAAGTGTCAGAATAAAGTATAGGACACTACGAAGGACTGCAGTTATTTTCTGAATCCTAGCCGACTGACTGTCTGTAGTTGACAGGATAAAGTCAAGATCCTCCCTTATGTACCCATCTATAAGGAAGGATCACGGCTATAGCCCACTAACTACTGACCGGTTAGTCCGACATGCATTTTCATAAGCTACATGAGGGAGTACTTAAAAAATAAATTATGTCGCTTGATAAATTTCGTGCTCAGATCAGCTCAGCATAGTTTCTACGAGAAGTCCTGCCTCATAAACCTTACATTGCTCGAACGTTGGTCAAAAGCAGTGAACGAAGGACACCCAATGGATGTCATTTGCTTTGACTCCAGCAAGGCCTGCAATTGCGTCCTACAAAGGTGCCTCATTCAAGAGATACCAAACTTAAGGATTAGCGGAAACCTCCTGAGCTAGATTCAAGATTTCATAACTGATCGCAGACAAAAGGCTACTGCGGGTGGGCACTGTTTAGGATGAGCATCTGTAAAAAATGGAGTCCCACAAATATCAGTTCCTCGGCAGTTCCTATTTATTTTCTGTGTAAATGACCTAGTACAGGAAGTAAAGTCCGATACAGTGCTCTTTACAGGTGATATTAAGCTGTGGACTGTGATAAGAGATGCGAGAGACTTTCAGATATTGCTGCAGACGTGGAGCGAACTCTGGTGCATGAAATTCGATGTCGACAAACGTCTGGTAATGCACATAATGTCAGTGAGCCGAAAAAGAAGTGCACCTTCACGACAGTATCTCTTGAAAAATCAACCAATTTAAAACCGTAAATGCGCAAAAAGACCTTGGAGTATTCGTTAAGGACGATTTAGGCGTAACAACGCAGTGTTCCAGTGTCGCAGTGCGGGCAACATCAACTATGAGGGCTACACGCAGAGCGTTTGTAAAACTGCATGTGGATATCTTAGGCACGGAGCATTTTGCGCATTGTGCGGCCGCACCTGGAATATGCGGTACAGGCTTGGTGGCCGTGGCTTCGGAAAGACAGGTATTCTTGACGGTGTACAACGACGTGCTACAAAGCTCGTTCCTGAACTCAGGGATTTAACGTATGAACAGCGTCTGGCCGCCTTAAACATCTACCCCCTCCACCACAGACAAGACAGATTGACCTCATACTAACGTTTCAGTTACTACGGTAACTTGATCTTGATGTGGACTGGGAAAATCTTTTTGAAAAGTCACCGAAGACGACATGACTGTCAGCATAAAAAGGAGCTGTGTCGCAACAACCGATGTTCCTCCTTCTTCTCGCAAAGATTCATTTAAAATTGGAATTCTCTACTGAAGTATGTCCTGCATTGTACCAACATGTGTATAGGAGACGCCTGGATGCTCACCTGTTAAAGGTCGGCCAGAACACTCCAAACCGCAGCAAGTAGGCCACCGCAATACCTATAAACATTCTATTCCCTATGTGTCAGTAGCTCATTTTGTTTGCATTAACTTCAATACTGCTGAATTTGTTGCGCGCAGATACAGCCGATGCGTTGTTCGCCGTAATTTAGCAAATTCCCCAGCCTTTTAACACTCCCGTTTCACAATCAGTCTACTGTATTTCGTAAACCGAAACCACCTGTAAATCTTTGCCACCTCATTGCTCTTCATGCTAACTTGTATCGTTTTTGAACGGAGTTTTCAAGAGCTTCTGTCATTTATTCCAAACACAATGATTTGGTTATCTCATCGTTACGCACTAGCAGATACAGTTCGTGACCTATCTGATGAAAGATCATGAAATGCGAACTAAAATCGCTGTAACGCACGAGACACCCGTTCCGCATCCACGGAAGTTATACTGCGTTAAAAATACGACCGAGCTTCAAAACAAGGCACAGTTTGGTTTATACAGAATTATTAATTGACCCAGAGATCATTTATTTCACGAAAAACCGCCAAATCGAAAAACGACTGTTTTATTATTAATAATTCCCCAGTTACCTGGATAATAGTGAAAGCACAAGCTGAAAACTCACACGGCAGCCCTTCGGCTGCCAGTATTCGTATCCGCTCAAAGTCAACTTCCGATACGAATAGTTTCGACATCTTTGTTGCCCGGCGTGACACAGAGAAGTGGCAGCATGTACCGCGTAATCTATACATACGGGTTTACGCCTATTATTTCCCGGTGTAGTAAAACAAATGATGTCGAACAAGCGTATACTTGCGTTTAACGGTATAAAACGCTGAAATTTCGCTAAATATAATTTGCAAAGGGCGAACTGCTTCTTGTTCCATGAAAAGAATGCGTTTTGAGATACCTGCCTTGACCTGATTTTCATAAATTAAAAGCCACAATTTCTGTTTCCTTTATATTTTTCTTGGTTAGGTGATAGTTCTTTTATAACGCGACGCGTGCAAATAAGAGGCTTCAGTAGACGTCAGAATTTGCCTAACATTGGCCTGCTTCCCCCGATAAAACAGACCTAACATGAACTGTTCGTTAGAAAAGGGCTTTCTGGGATTCCAAACAATTCTAGGAACAAAAATAACCATTCCAAATACATGCCGCTTCACCTGCTCTGATACCGGTCTCGACATTTCATGAGTTAGGCCATCGACTGTATGTACACAGTTAACGACTTGTAGAATTTGTAGAATTTTATATAACTTGGAATCCAGAAATTCATGGCGGCTGGGATTTTGTTGGAATGTAATGAATGTCGGGAAACGCTAATCCAAGGGGAGTTTAAGAACGTGCACATGCGCTGGTCAGATGCCTCAGCCAAGGCGGAAATTGGGATACGAATGGGCGTATTTTTTCGGTCACTGAACGGTTTTTTAATTCGAAAACGCTGTTCCCATGTCTGGCGAAGTGACCAAATGTCAGTTAGCACTTCAACCGGTGAATGTGGCCGGCGGGTACGCCAGTGAAAAGCTCGGTTCATAAACAGCGTTCGCCGAGGCGTGTATGCTTCTTGACAGAGGTATCAAAGCGTATCTGCGGTCCTCTGTCGCACCCCTTCAATTTTTAACATTGACCGTTAGATGCCGTCAAGATTGACAACGCAGAGCTCGGATCTCGGCAGCCTGATAGGTAGGGCACCGTCCTAGACCCGACACCAAGTGTTTCTTGGTGGTCATTGCCTGGGTCTTCGATCTCGAATGCGCTGAAGTTGGACTCATGACCAGACTTTCCACGCCTGCAGATCGTACCCATACGCCCGGCGACCGGTCTCTCCATCGCAGCTGAACTCCGTACAACCACTATAGTGGCCGATGGCAGACCCTCAAACCGTAGCCATGAGCAAAGCCCTTCAGAAAAATCTTGCAGACTCGATCCGGCCATTAGCCTTCGTTTTCAAGAACCTTTCGCCACCTGTTTTTCAATCCCTTCATGGACTTTCTCACCCTGGGATCCAAGGCTCATAAAAGCTCCCCGTGGAAGTGTTCATCCGATCTGGTATGAACAACGATGGGAAAATTTTGGTACGGTCGTGCCCGGACTGCAGTCTTAACAAGGTTTGGTGCCACAACAAGTCCTAAACGGGCATCTTCCCCGGCCCTAACGCACGGTTCAACCATGTTAATTTAAATGCCGCAGGTTTCCCCTCTCTCCTCTTGTGGTGGTCGGAACACATGCTGGGCTGAAACCATTCCTTGTCAAAGTTGAAGGCAGATACTTTCGTCAAAAGCTTTCGCCAGTCGCCTGATGGCCATATTCGGTGCGAGGTTCTCAGTTCAAATCTACTCCCTTCCAAGCACCCCTCACCTTTCTTGGCTGCACACGCATTCGAAGGGCAGCTTAGCACCCAGCGGGCAACGGCATGGTTGAGCCCTTTCATCATCAGCTAAAGACCGTCTGTGTGCCAGAGGACCCAACAAACAGATCCGACAACCCGCCACTGGCTCTTCTTGGTATTCACGCCGCACTGAAACTGGATCTAGACTGCAGCGTAGCCGAATTGGATCGGACCTACCCTCCGACTGCCAGGCGAGATGCTAACCTCAAGTTATCGTAGTGCCGACGAGAATCCCGCCAGTCTTACGCATCGCCTGAAGCAATTTATGCGCCCGCCGTCCTCGATTCCGCCACAAACTTTATCGACCGGGTCTCATGTCGGAAAAGGTCTGGTCGACTGCACTCATGTGTTCGCTCGGTGTGGCGGTGTGCACGAGCCGCAGGAATCACAACACGAAGGCCCGTTCCAAGGTTCCTTCACACAGTACCGAAACCCACCGGATCCGTTGTGGTGACAGGCAGGACCTAGTCAGCGTGGACCGGGTCAGGGCTGTCGTCCCAGAGGAACCACCGGACCTGCCCAAGGACAGAGATGTGCTGACCTCCTATCCCCTTCCTTTGCCCTCCCCACCTCCACCGTCCATGAGCGCAGCTACCACAGTGCCACTGACATTCACACCACTCGTGACGGTTGTCGTGTGCACTTTCCCGATCGCTTTAGCACTTATTGCATTACCCTTCAGCTTCGCTTTTACGCTGGCCTTCGGTCTAGGCAGAGGGCACTGCTGTTCCCGGCTCTCACAGTCAACGCTGGCACTGACCCATGTCGCCTTTGCTTCGCCTAGTAAGCGCGTGTGACTGAACCTTCGCCTCGTCGATGCCGATCGATATTTCTGTTTTTATCGATTGGTCGAGGCGCACACAGAACAAATGGCGACACGGTTGGCGACGATGCATGCCGTCATTACCTGCTGAGCTTCATCTACGCCCTCTTATTTGTCCAATAGCTCAGTCCTCACTGACTTTTGATTTGGGAACCTGCGAGTTGTCCATCCTCGTACCTCCACAAATCTGTCCCGCTGGGAATGGGA